CTAGTGGTTGGTGTCACCACTGAGGTTGGTTTGTAGGGCCAAAGTGAAGTGTGTACATCACTTTGGTCAGTGGGAATTTAATTCGTCAGCCAAGTTTTGCTTGAGTTCGGACCAGGCAGAAAACGGTTTGTGTGTAGTCCTCTGGCCGCATGTGTAGCGGGATTGGGTGCATGTAGAGGATTTGTGAACAATTAATTATCCAGTGATATGAACGTTGACTCTGTGTGAGATATGTACCAGTGACCTGTTATAGGACGGCTAGTTACATGACATGTTACTCGGACGATTATGGACTCTCGCGAGGTGTAGACCAGTTATATTTCTTTTTATACATAGATCGGGATTAATATTTAATTATCTACAATTAGAGAAATATGGTATATACATGAGAGTTTCCTTGTTTGGATTATTTCGCTCGACGTACTACGTCTCGAGTTGTAGATTTTTAAGTATTAATTCCATCTAGTGTATGACCTTGTTAGTTGGATGATTATTCTGATCACTAGCTGTATGATCGACTTGTTACTTGGTTGATTTTCTTGGATTCTTCTGATTATTATATTCTAGTGACAGATTGCATTTAGATTATTAGTATTCTAGTTGCATGCTTCTTTTACTATTATTACTTGTTCTTGCATTGGTCGTTTGACCGTTACTATTCTTCCTTGTGGGATCTTACCGTGTGCCATGCACGCTGACGTACTTCTGTTCTTTCGGGTTGTACGTCAGATCTAGAAGACGGACAGCTTCAGTCCGGAGTCGTACATGAGCTAGAAGATCCTCCGCAGGAGTGCTTTGTAGACCGAGCAGAAGAAGTCGAATCATAGTCATTTCTTTTATCAACTGTTGGTCCTTAGTTTACTTTTATAGTACTTTTCATTTCTGCTTGATCGTTGTATTTTATATTTTCCAGCATTCAGATCATTTTGTATAAGGGCATATTTGGCCCGAATATTATGTCTAGATGAATATTTTAGTTGTGATATGCATCTTTTGGTTCTGAGTTGTTTATTATTTTCTTGATACTGTGATCGAGAACCTGTGCCTTCGCTTCATATTGCTTGACGCTTAGCGTATTAGATTGAGTAGAATGTCTAGTACTTTTCTTCTCAGTCTAATACGTCACGAGCTTGTTCACGTTCCGATTCCCTGGTATTTTTGGGAAGCAGGGCGTGACGCAATTAATTTTCAATTAGCTTGTCTTGGTTGTGGATGAAGCGATGATGAATCTTGTTTTGAATTACGACGGCTTCATTCCGATTTCCACCAACCTCCAAGATATTATCGTTTGCACTCAATTCCATCTAACCTCCAATAGAGGATATTTGTATAGATTACCTAACAAAACAAATACAAACACTCGACACATAATGTTAGGAATTGTATGTTAATCATCAAAACTAGATTAGACAATAAGCTCATAAATGTGAGACCTAACACAAGTCAATAGATGAACATGAGTGGTGAAATATAGGGTTAGCTCTTAGTTGTGTAAAAAAGACCATAGAGAGTTACCTAATGCAATTCCTCTCCTTTTTATAGTGGATTTGAGGCACAAGAAGGTAAATTAGGCCGAGTTCAACTAGACATTTGAGTCGGCAGACATGTGCTATGTGTCGGTTGTTGAAGGATGTGAGTCACCTGGTCATTTATTATGGGAATGATAGTAGGTGCTCGGTGCTGACTGGGTCCGATGAGTCATAAAAGCTATGAGGGCCAGAGCAATGATGATGTTGTCAGGACAGTTAATGCGAGAGTAGTCGACTTGCGAGGGGCTCGAGGTAATTGTCATCTTGCGACTCCTCAGGGCTAGGGTCGAGAAACATCACCTTTCGACTCAATTATGCGAGGTGTCGGCCAAACAGTGGGCCGAGTCGGGTCGTTTATGGAATTAATTGAGGGGTTGTCCGAGTAGTACCGCCTTTTGACTCGGTTACGAGATATGCTGGCCAACCGAGTCAGCCGTGCTGAGGTAGAGGTCATCTTGGTTTTGAATTAGTCATATTAGATATAGTGTAAGACATGTATCGATTGCTCTGCGAAAATTAATATTTAGTAATTTTTAGAGGTATAACATAAGCGATCAAATTTTGAATGAATATTTGATAAGTAAATGAATCGAATATACATCTAATTAGATTATATTCATTTATTTATTCAAATACCAAAAATTATTTGTTTAGCGTTAACTGAACTACCGAATCAAATATAACCAAAATATTTTACGAACAATTGACAAACTATTAGGTTCTTTTCCACCCCTATGATACCCACTCTTCACAAAAAAAATGGAATTGAAATAGAAACAATAAGATAACTACACATTGTAATTTGCAAAGAGAAAACAAGTAAAATAAACTTAGGATAAGCGATTCGCGTGCCATTTGCTGTATGGATCGAATATTAAGACCTGTTTCATAATTCTTTTATCCACATATCAACATGAATTTTTTGTTTCAAATTTTACTTTATTTCATTTTAGGGGCTGTTTGGTTGGTTTCCTAAAAACCAAGAATAGGAAATTAGAGTTTGGAAATCTCAAAAAGTGCAATTTCCACCATTTTTATCCCTAAAACTTCCTACAACATCTAATAAAATATTATTTTCATCCAACAATTCATCCACATCATCCAATAAAATATTATTTTTATCCAACAACTCATCTCATATCATCCAATAAAATAAACATCATCCAATAAAATATTATTTTTATCCAACAACTCATCTCATATCATCCAATAAAATAAACCAAACAAAAGAAATGTGTCACATCATCCAACTCTCATCTCATATCATCCAATAAAATAAACCAAACAAAAGAAATGTGTCACATCATCCAACTCATCTCATATCATCTTTAAAAAGCACTCGCATCATCTAATAATATGGTGACAACACATCTCATTTCATTAATATTTCATCTCCACCCATTTCCTCCAAAAAAAAGAATAAGGAAATTGATTTCCTTAAGTGTGGGGTCACATCATCCAATAATATAATGACAACTCCTCTCATCTCATCTCATCTCTTATTTTTAAAAATGAACCAAACACCAGAGAAGAACCTATTAGGGCCTGTTTGGTTATTTCCCAAAAAACCAAAAAATAGAAATGAAAACCAAGAAATCTTAAAAAGTACAATTTCACACATTTCCATCCCTAAAACTCACCCACAACATCTAATAAAATATTATTTTTATCCAACAACTCATCCACCACATCTAATAAAATATTATTTTCATCCAACAACTCATCCATCACATCCACCACATTTAATAAAATATTATTTTCATCCACAACATCACTCAACTCATCTCATCTCATATTTAAAAATCACTCACATCATCCAATAAGATTGTGACAACTCATCTCATCTCATTAACATTTTATTTCTTTGTTTTCCTCCCAAAAAGCTATTACAAGAAATATGTTTCTTATAATTCATTTTCTTATTTTTTTCGCCAACCAAACAACATCAAAACAAGTTTTCTTAAAAAATCACTCACATTATCCTATAATAAGGTGACAACTTATCTCATCTCATCTCCATTTTCTTTGATTTCCTTCTTTTTTTAGCCAACCAAACAATCCCAAAACCTATTTTTCTTAGAAATATGTTTCTTTTTCTTTGATTTCCCTCTTTTTTAGGCAAACAAATAGCCCCTTAGGGCCTGTTCGTTTATTTCCTAAAAACCAAGAAATGAAAATGGAAAAGGTGGAAATCTCAAAATAATCCATTTCTTCCATTTCCATCCCTAAAACTCACCCACAACATCCAATAAAATATTACTTTCATCCAACAACTCATCCACATCATCTAATAAAATATTATTTTCATCTAACCACTCATCCACCACATCTAATAAAATATTATTTTCATCTAACAACTCATCCACCACATCTAATAAAATATTATTTTCATCTAACAACTCATCTATCACATCTAATAAAATATTATTTTCATCCAAACATCACTCAACTCATCTCTTTTTATCATTTCAAATCACTCACATCATCGAATAAAATATTATAACAATTCACATCATCTCATTAACATTTCATTTCTTTGTTTTCATCCTAAAAAGTTGTGAAAACACTTTTCTTAATCTTTCTTCACATGACCCAATAATACAATGACAACTCATCTCATCTCATTTCATTTCTTATTTTTAAGAATGAACCAAACAAAAAAAACAATAAAACTACAGGAAATAGGTTTCTTATAATTCATTTCCTTATTTTTTTCGCCAACCGAACAACATCAAAACTAGTTTTCTTAAAAAATCACTCACATCATCCAATAATAATGTGACAACTCATCTCATCTCATCTCCATTTCTTTGATTTCCTTTTTTTAGCCAACCAAACAATTCAAAAACCCATTTTTCTTAGAAATAGTTTTCTATTTCTTTGATTTCCCATTTTTTTAAGGCAAACGAACAGGCCCTTATAGGAAATAGGTTTCTTATTCTTTGATTTCCTTCTTTTTTAGCCAATCAAACAACCTCAAAACAAGTTTTCTTAAAAACTCACCCACATCATCCAATAATATAGTGCCAACTCATCTCTTATCTCATATTCTTTGATTTCCTTCTTTTTTTAGCTAACCACAATCTCAAAACAATTTTTTATGGAAATAGGTTTCTTATTCTTTGATTTCCTTCTTTTTTTTTGGGCAAACAAACAGCCCCTTAGAAATAAATATCTTCTATACCCTTAACAACATCTAATAGAAATAGAAAAAGAAAAAAAAAAGAAAAAAGAAAAAAGAAAAAGAAAAAGAAGAAAAGAAAAAGAAAAAGGAAAAAAAATAAAAAGAAAAGGAAGAAAATAATTTCTTGACTTTAATGCCTGGTTGAAAAATTGGATGGTAATGATGCACTTCTACGGGGTGTAGAACAGCGTGTGCAGTCACGCTCTGGACTTTGGTGTATAATTATTCCCATACAAACAAAAGAACGCATTTTTTAAGCTCTATAATATATATAACATAATTCCAATCATTTCTTTTATTCATCGCTACTTCCCCGTACTAGGAATCCTTCCTCCCCAAATTGCGATGCCTCTCTCCCATCAACAAACCAATTATCGCTTAACTTATTTATATAATTGATCTCTCAACATAAACAAACTGAGCAGAGAAAGATTGAAGCAACTTTGAAGGGGAGGGAAATTAGGAGAATGGATCAGAGAGAAAGAGAAGGGATCAATGACATTGAGAGCAATGAAGGATCTATGGACAGAAATGGGTCATCAAGCTTTGATGATGACAAGGAGCTGGGGATGATGCAGCCTCTGCTCGAAAGGAAGAGGACTATGAATACAACCTCTCAGATTGCGGTTGTGGGAGCTAATGTTTGCTCAATTGAGAGCTTGGATTATGAGTTTGTTTCTAAATCTCATCAACCCAATTATTATTATTTTTGTTCCGTTCAATTTCGTTTCTTTAATTTCTTCGCTTTTTATATATCATGGCCATCATCTCAACACCAACAAAGATGCCGTCTTTGTCATTGCCCTCAAGCGAAATGCTCTTCAGTTTTTGTTACTGTCAATGTTTTTTAGTTTTTGTTTTAATACTGAATTTCATTATTTGTTTGCTTTTCCGTATCTATTTACTAGCCCATTTGTAACATGCCGACTAATGATGTAATCTTTGCCGTTACCCATCATTAGAAATGCCATAATGTCGATCCTTTTTTCAAATCTGTTATTATTGTCATCGTTATTTTGTGGTTATTTTGATCTTGATAGTGGCAAGTAGAAGCCCCATTTTTTCCATTTTCATTTGTTGTTAAATTTTTTTGTTTTTTATTCCTAGTTGTTGAGCTCAGACTGCTAAGGGTTAATTTGCTGGTGAAATTTCTGCCTATTAATCATCCACATCTGCATAAAGCTTGGTGGATTTATTTATGTTTCTAGCTATTTTCCTTGTATTATAAGTTTTACACCTACCCATCATCCCATTGTTTGTATAACTGATAATGGTAAAGAACTATTAGTGTTAAGTTTCCATCTTGCCATTTCTCCAAGCTCATAAAAATAAGTCTGACATTGTTCTGGTGGATTTGCTTGATGGCTAAAAATTAAATTTGAGATTACTCACTCGACCCCATTCCAAACTCATCAAGGCTTAATTTATTATTATTATTTTCTATTTGTAAAAATCTACTTGGTTGTTTTGTCTCAATGATATACCTTTTTGAAATTCTCCACCAGTGGGAATTAATGGATTTGGATCGTCTCATATGCTCCAATCACAACTGTCAATTAATATTTAGATAGTTGTGGTTCATTCCGAATCTAACATTTACCACACCTGTGCGATTTGCGTTCATTTCCACTTTCACTTAAGAGAGATCACAATCGTCTAAATGCAAATAGATGATTGTGATTTAAAGTAATGGTCTCCCTACTACTTTTCTTAAGTGCAGAGGATCCAGATCCGGAATTGATACTTAGTATCCTGCTTATCCATATTAAAATCCTTTATGTTACCTTTTAACATTTTTGAATTTATTTCTTTTTTGATTTAGTTCCTTTCCTTTTGTTTTCTTTGTATCGAGATCTTATTTAGTTCTAGCCGTGTATTGACGGCCATACTATATTTTTTCATATGCATAGTTTGTCACATCAAACATGAAACTACATCAGTAAAATTGTGGTTTATAGAATTGGGAGTTTGAGCGGAAAGTGTCCTGATTTTCATTGAAGTTCTGACTTTAATCTACCTCACAATGATTATGGTAAAATCCCCAGCTTAAAAGCAGTATACTAACATTTTTATTTTGAATTACTGTTGCGGCGCATACTAACATTTGTGTAAGCATTGATCATTAAACCCCAGATAGATGAATTTCTTTTTGTATAGCCATCAAGGCGACTTGTTTTTCCCCCTCTTCTCAATTCATATTACATTAGCTCTTGCTGTCATTGATTGTTTCTCCTCAATGTTGCCTGATATCTAACAGGATTGTAGAAAGTGACGTATACAAGGAAGATTGGCGCTCTAGGAGAAAAGATCAGATATTTCAGTATGTCATTCTCAAGTGGACTTTTGCACTTCTTATTGGCTTAGGCACTGGGCTTGTTGGCTTCTTCAACAACCTTGCAGTTGAGAATATCGCGGGAGTCAAATTGCTTATGACCAGTAACCTAATGCTTAAGAATAGGTAAAGCCTGAACTTATGTCTTTGGGATAATAGAATCCCCTAAATGCAGGAAAGGTATGGGCTCAGGCTTTTTGTTCATTTATCATAACATCATACAATTTTAGACTCCAATAGAAATCTTGGAGGATATTCTGTGGAAAGACTAATAGAATTGTACAGTGCAGAGTTAGTTTTGAAAAGAAAAACGTGTTTGATGTCTTGTCTATATAAAGCAAATGGATAATGGAAATTGTTAGATACAGTTTTGTTTTGGGTGTAGCTGGAAATGTTATTTAACTTATTTGAGTCCCTAGATTTATGGCCATTTCGGAAGCACTTGGGATGGTACCTTGGAATTAGTTTCAATGCTGTTATTCATTTGTTTAGGGTGGGTTGTTGATGACTAAATCTGTGAACTCACTATCATGTGTATGTACACACACACGTATGTATGTATTAATTTGGTATCACTTATGCTATTTTATACATTTTATTTATGAGTGATGTTGACAATATTGAAAGACAAAACTTCAACATAGCTCCTTAATATTATAGCATGATTTCATTTGAGTTGTTAGCATATGAAACTCATCAATAGAAGTACCTAACGTTTACCCAATATCAAATCTGGTCCATTTTATTTTTTCCATTAATTTTCAACTGATGTGGTAGGTCTGCGTGGTCATCTTTGTTTTTAAATGTTGATAGCATGATTTCATTTGAGTTGTTAGCATATGAAACTCATCAATAGAAGTACCTAACGTTTACCCAATATCAAATCTGGTCCATTTTATTTTTTCCATTAATTTTCAACTGATGTGGTAGGTCTGCGTGGTCATCTTTGTTTTTAAATGTTGCCCAAATCAAAATACCAAAGGTAAAGCTTTTTACCCTTTTGTAAAAACCCAAAATTACCTTAAAAAGAACTCCTCACTTCTCTTCCAAATTGCACCAAGCTCAAATTTTTAACTCATTTTAGAAGATCAGACGGCGTGGTGAAAGATGCATTCAAGATGGGTAATTTGGTTGGATCTGTAGGCAATGAAGAAGAATTGCCAGGTTCGATTGTAAGGCGTTTTAAGCATGAGATTTTTCCTCTTAAATTGAGTACATTAAGAACATGAAATCAATAAGTTTAGATCTGTGAGATTTTTTTTGAAGCTTGATCAATTGGCTTCCTCATTTCCTTTAGAAGAGAGAGACAAGGGGGATCTATGGTTTTTTGAAGAGTCTTTTCTTCTGATCTATTGAGCAATGGGAGGAGTTTGGTGTGATTTAGGGTGTTTGAGAAAGGAGGCATTTTTCTTGGTTTGTTTTTCGATTTGGGAACAGAGGGGGGAGTCTAGTCTACTTCTGTACTTGAGTATGATGAGTTAATGAAGGGCTCTGTTAGTAAACGTAGTCTTTTTTATTTTTTTTTTTTTGGGGGGGGGGGGCGAGAAGGGGCGGGGGGGGGGGGAAGGGGACCAGGGGGAAATTTATGAAAAGGAGACATTTTCTCGGTTTTTCTTTTCATTTCGGAATAAAAGGGGGTCCGCTGTGATGACGGACATAATGAACCTGCTATTTTAATGGTGAGGATCTTAGGCGGGCGGGGGGGTGGGAGGGGGGGGGGGGGGGTGGGGGGGGGGGGGGGCGGGGGGGGGGGGGCCCGGGGGGGGGGGGGGCATCCAGTCAGGCATCGAAAGCTGTTTCACGCTTAGGGTGGGTAGAAGAAAATATAATGTCTAATACCTACCAGTTAATATGTTATATACTGGAATGCCTGTTTGCAATTGAACTGTTAAACTGGCAAGGACTGTAAAACTGACCAAGTTTTGATGCTTTTGTATGTTATGCAAAACATTCGGGCGAGATGTTTGGTCATTTTTGGGTAACTGGCAAAAATAAAGAACCGTCCGTTTAAATGGTTTTAGTAAGTTTGAACCAACCTGGTCCAAACTAAACGCAGTTATATGAACGATCATGGAACGGTGCGGCGTTCTGATCTGGTTTTTTAACAAAAGTCTGTCAACACACCCTAGAAATATTGGTCTGTCCACATCTAAATTTTCATAGTTAAAGAAATTATTATCAACGGGAATGGCCAGACATTCTGAGGGGCATGGAAGTAGAATGTGACCATATGATAGTATAACGACAGTTGAAAGTTCGGAGGTCTTCATTGTGGTTTCAGAGGTTCTCTTAAAAACATAAATTCTGGTGCTAAGTCTCTATTTTTCACTACACCCGACATAGTTAATCATCCTAGTTTAAAACGTATACTGGCATTTATTGAAGGAAATCAGTGTTAGTATTACCTAAAATGTTAAATATTTTTGAAAACTCTCGTCCTCCTGTCAGAATTCATTGGATTGGCTATTAGTTCCGATGTAATTCATGTATTATTTCGATAAGATTAGCCTCTCAAGATTAAATTCAATTAAAATGGTAAATTTCGAGTTCCTCTTTTTCATTTTTGATCGAGCTAAAGTTTTGTACAACCTCATTTATTTTAAAGGGCCCACACATATTTTAATTGTTTTATAATATTAGCTGTTATTCACAAAAACATTCATAAATTTCTCTAAGTTTCTCATTTGCACATAAACGTAACGCCGAAATTTAACTAATTCTAAGTTGTTTAAAATCCCACCCATTCGATTTAAACATTGGCGTTTTTTATATTAGTCCGTTAAATGTTTTCTGTTGTATAATTGAGTTATACCCGCCCAAACATGTGTGATTGAGTTGTAGGTTCCG